TCAGTTACTGTTTTTTACTATTTTTACTTGAGACAACTTCAATATCTGTTTATAAAGGCTTCTGTATAGGAAAAAAAGAATTTCAAGTTGATAAAACATTTATATTAACAGTTACTGGAATGTTTTGCAGTGTTTTTTCTGAGAAGATTTTATTTATTGGAGAGGTTTTTTTAAAAAAAGATTTTATTTATTTGAGAGAGAGCACGCACAAGTGGGGGGTGGGGGGGTAGGGAGGGTCAGAGGGAGAGGAAGAACCAGACTCCCCTCAGAGCAGAGAGCCCAGGCATGAGGCTCCATCTCAGGACCCCAAGATCATGATCTGAGTGGAAAGCAGACACTCAATTTACTAAGCCACCCAGGCACACTTTTCAGTGATTTTTAAGAATCCCATAGCAAGGGATCCCTGGGTGGCACAGCGGTTTGGCGCCTGCCTTTGGCCCAGGGTGTGATCCTGGAGATCCAGGATCGAATCCCACGTCAGGCTCCCGGTGCATGGAGCCTGCTTCTCCCTCTGCCTGTGTCTCTGCCTCTCTCTCTCTCTCTCTGTATGACTATTGTAAAAAAATAAAAATAAATAAAAAAATCCCATAGCAAGAAATCTCAAGACCTCTTACACTGTTAAAAATTATCAAGGATCCTGAATGTTTTTGTTTATATGGGCTGTATCTGTTTACTATTTACTGTGTTAGAAATTAAAACTAAGAAAATTGAAAAACATATAATAGTTTTGAAATATATTTAATTGCACATATTTAATTTTCTTGAAAAGGCCAGAATTTATTACCTTGGTTTATTTAGGCACTTAAGCCATTAGTATTTTGTAGTTCCATCTTAATGCCCAGTACAGATTTTGAATATTGATGGTTGTTGGGCACTCAAAAAATCAAGCTCTTTCGACCTGAGACTTTAAAATAAGGCAAAGTGGCAGCCCGGGTGGCTCAGCGGTTTAGCGCCGCCTTCAGCCCAGGGCATGATCCTGGGGACCCAGGATCGAGTCCACGTCAAGCTCCCTGCATGGAGCCTGCTTCTCCCTCCACCTGTGTCTCTGCCCCCCCCCCTCTGTCTCTCATGAATAAATAAATAAAATCTTAAAAAATAAAATAAGGCAAAGTATTATTATAGTATTCCCCAAGTGTATTAATATTTGTAGATTTTATTGTGAAACATCAGAATACAGAATAGAGATAACCGACTTTCTCTTTTTTAAGACTAATGTAAGTTAGGTTTTAAAAATAGTACAGTATAATTCTATGATATTAAGTAATCAGTCAACCTTGGTTTTATAAGTAGGCCAAAGGATTACCATTAACATTACCATTATTTTGTTTTATAAATATATATACACACACATGTATATATTAAACAATAGAATTTGTTTATGTTACTTTTTTACAACTATTCAAGCTATATTAATTTCCAGAACTTCTTTTGTATTTCAAAGCTACTAGGTTCCATTTCAGACTTAACCTTTGTTATTAAACTATTTCTGCTAAAAATAGTTAACTAAAATAGCTGTAAACATTTGTGAAGGGCTTACTATGTTTTGGCCACTGTTCCAATTGCATTATATGTTTTAACTCATTGAATCCAACAATCCTATGAAGTAACTACTATTATCTTCCTTTTACAGGTGAGGAAATAGGCACACAGAGGTTAAGTAACTCACCCAAGGTTTATGAATCATGGAACTTAAATTCAAATTTAGGCAGTTTGATTTTAGAGATAATGCTTTAACCAACCACCAAGCTATATTGTCTCAACTAAGTAAACCTGAGCAAACTAACGTCGACAATTCTAAAATAGATGATCTAGATAGTGATCATTTAAGATAATTCTTTAAACTCTATAGCACATTTTCTCTATGAATTAAGAAAATTATAAATGAATTTTTAAATTATAAAAGTAATACATATTTATGGACAAAAATTCCAAAAGTACATAAAATTTCTAATATCTCTTACCCATTTGTATTTCATTTTTTATTTTTTTATTTTTATTTTATTTTTAAAGATTTTACTTATTTATTCATGAGAGACATAGAGAGAGAGGCAGAGACACAGGCAGAGGGAGAAGCAGGCTCCACGCAAAGAGCCCGATGTGGAACTTGATCCCGGGACTCTAGGATCACGCCCCGGCCCGAAGGCAGGTGCTAAACCACTGAGCCACCCAGGGATCCCCTAGACTTTATTTTTAGAACAGGTTTTATTTACAGAGAAATTGAGAAGGTATTACAGAGAGTTCCCAATATTCTTATATACATTTTTTAAATTTATTAACATCTTAAGATTAGTATGGTACATATGTTAATGAACCAATATTTGATAATAATGATACATTATTACTGATTAAAGCCCATAGTTTTATTTATATTTCCATAAATTGTTCCTAATGTCTCTTTTCTAGGATCGTATCATATTATATTTAATTCTCATGTCTCCTCAGGCCCTCCTTGCTTGTGATCATTTCTCAGACTTAGCTCATTTTTGATGACCCTGACAGTTTGAGGAGTACTGGTTAGGAATTTTGTAGGATGAATCTTGATTAGAATTTGTTTGATGTTTCTCTCATGATTAGATTGGGATATTGGGAGGAAAATAACAGATGTAAATGCCATTTTCATCATGAGTCCTATCAAGAATAATACTAGAAACATGATATGTCACTATTAATGTCGACCTTGATCACCTGTCTTAATAAAGTATACTTTAAGGTTACTCATTTTGTCCCCCTTTCTCTACTATACTCTTTGGAAGAAAGTCATTATATGTATGCTCCACCTCCTTGAGAATAGTATATTTCTGTAAATTATTTGGCATTCTTCTATACAAGAGATTTGTCTCTTTTCCTCCACTTACTAACTTATTCAGTCATTTATTTGTGTCAGTATGTAGTCATGGATATTTTCTTTATACTTTGAATTTTAATCTAGTACTACTTTATTTGTTGTTCAAATTGTTCTAGCTTTAGCCATTTAGAGCTATTTAAGCTGGCTCCTGTGTACCCTTGACATACCTTATTCAGTACGAGGGTTAGTTTTTTCTTAGCTCTTACTTTCTGGCTTTTCTAGATGTGCCTAACTCATCCTGTATGTTTTCTGCCCCAGTCCTAGAATCATCCATTTCCCTGAGGGGCCTTGGTTCCTTTTTCTAGAGAATGATAGAAGAAACCAAACAGAGTGGTTACATGTGCTTGTTGCTACTGTGTGTCATTTCTTTTAGGCCCTTTCAGCAGACAGAGCAAAGAGATATATGTGTGTATACTAACCTGTGTAAATACAACATATCTGTAAATATTTCGATTTGTAACCACCTGTGTCTGTATTAAGCTAAACATGAATTCTTACTGAAGTGTCCAACTGTAACCTACCACAATTATGAATCATTATAGCCTTCCCCTCCTGTTTATTTGTAAATTTCTACTCTAACAGTGAGATCCCTGGCTCCCACCCTCCACCATCCATTTACAGTTTTTCAATTCCAGTGAATACGTTCTAGCAACATCAGAATTGTTAACCTGAACCCTCACTGAAAACATTTTATCAACTAGAGTATAGTACTTTCCTATAGCATTTCCTTTGCTTTTTAGTTTTATAGACTTCTCATTTCCAAGGTTGCTTCAGCCAGCACCTATTCTCCTATATTTCCGTTGTTAAAATTCTTTGGATGAATGAGTCACATTTTCTTCTGAAAGCACTTATATTCTCTCTGCTTCCATCACCCTCTAAACTGTTCTTTGTCTCTTCCTGGAGTACTCTTTGCCCTAATATACTCAGCTCCCCACCTTGCCTACACCTTCCCCCCCCCACCTCTGGATAGTATGGTTAATGAACAGCATATTTGACAGATAATGGTAGAATTTTTCATCTTTGTCCTTTTATGCTAAAGACTTTTTCTTTCTAATGGTTATCTTTTCAACATTTCTGAAAAAAATTAATTGTATAATTATAAGCTGACACTCTATTTAAAAAAAAATTTTTTTTTAAGATTTATTTATCTATTCATGAGACACAGACAGAGAGAGAAGCAGGCTCCCTGCAGGGAGCCCAATGCGGGACTCGATCCTGGATCCCAGGATCACGACCTGACCCAACCACTGAGCCATCCAGAGGTCCCAAAAAAATGGTTTTTGTTTGTTTTTCAATCTATTGTGGGGGAGGCAGTGTAACATTAAGAGCATGGTTTCTAGAAATATATTCCCTTGAGTTCAAATTCTGGCCCCATAGTTTAGTAGATTGGTAAACTTAGGTGTGCCTCAATTTTCTCATCTGTATAATGGATATTTTAAATTTACCTCTCTAATAAGATTGATGTGAAAGTTAATAGAATATTATCTTTTAAGTGCTTTTAACAGTGCCTACCACATAGGAAGCATTTAACAAATGTTAACTATTATGAAACACTAATGCTATATGTAAGGTTACAGAAAGAAAAATAACATCAGAGTGTTGTATTTAAGGTAATTGTCTTTTCGAGGACTACTAGTGGAATTTTAAAGTCAAGGTGTTTATACTTTTTTATTTACCTAGGATGGTGATCCAGGAATATGCCTGTTGTGCTGGTGGGAGGAGTAGCACTCCTCTTTTCACTTGATTAGAGCTTTTTGGTTTGGATGATAAAGTATATAGCCACCTTATTTCCGGAGTTATAAAATCCCATATGCTGGTATCTGACTAAAGTCGGTATAAATGAGTGGAGCAGCCTGGGAGTAGACAGGGAGGGACTGGAAAGGAAGGCACAATCTTGAAAGCATATTTAAACTGGGAAAACTGAAAAATATAGGGCTCAATTGACCATAACTGTGAAATCCTTGCTGACTTTAAAATTATTATAGATTTTTTTGAAGGCCGTATAAATAATTGCAATGGTGAAAATACAAGTGAACATATAGTAGGCAAAAATTGTGAGTCTACTGCTTCTTGAAGTGTGCTTCAAAATGGACTTACATAGTTTGCATTCCTGAAACTTAGTTGAGGAAACAAATATATTTTTTTTTCCTTTAAGACTGTTTTAAAGAAGTCATTCATATACGTCTGGACGAACTTCTTCGTGTTTTAAAATCTGTAATGAATAAACATCAGAACCTCAATTCTGTTGATCTTCATAATGCTGCAGAAATGCTTACTGCAAAAGTAAAAGGTAAGAAAGATGTATAAAAGTGGGTTGGTGTGGGGGAAAAGCATCTAAGTAATATTTGGTCTATAATGACTATCGTCCCACCTCCCCATATGGCACTGGTATATATCAATAGGAATTATGTATACTTTGATATGTTGATATTCCCACTAGATCACACCTGAAACTCTCTTCCTTTCAAAAATTAAAACTTCATCTGGCAGGACGCAGTTTAAAAATAGTAACTGAAATAAACTAAATAACTGGCATTTAAAATTTTTGAGTTTTTTGAAAGAGTACATGCTCTTTTGAAGTAGGTTTTTAGTGTAAAAATGTCTTTGTTTTGTGAGGACAGTTGGTGCTGGAAAATTGTCATTTGTAGTGACTCTGCTTAAAGAAGGGGGCCAAATAGAGAAAAAGACTTAAATCGAACTTTTTTTAATGTGAAAAAAAAAATGAAACTAAAATTACATATGAATATACACACATATATGTATATTACATGTACTAAAGTATCAAGAATTGGGAGTTGTCCTCTAATGAAGTAACTTGCCATCCAAAATTATTTTATTAGAATCTGTTATTCCAGACTGCAGTGTATAAGGAGGATTGAGGGCGAAGGGAGTATTTGAGAAGAATGAGGCAGGGAGTTGAGCCAGAGATCATTAGAAATAAGGGGCTGGGTGTGGGGTGACAGTCTGATCTAAGAAGCTGGAGTGTGGTAGAGGTGGAACATAGTTGTTATAGAAAAGGGGTTCAATGTTGGTTTGATGAAGCCTAGGACAGGTTAAATGTTGAGGATTAATGTGAAGTTTGGAGTTGAAGATGAGAACTTGAGAGCTGTTGGTATATATGTGGTAATGGAACAAGACGGCACCAACTCGGAGTATGCAGAGTAAATGTAGGTGGAGTATGAGATCCCAGGAACAGAGAAAAAATAGAGGAGCCTGGGAAACACCTAAGAATAGATGGTTTGAAGAAGATGTCATGAAATTTTAAAAGCTCAAGGTTCTAAGTTGTGATCGCCAATGTTAAATGTCGCTGATAAGTAATCGGAATTCAAGCACTGTAACTAGAAAGTGACTCACACCATGGGTTGAATAAGGAAAGGAAAGGATTCTTTGGGGAGGGGAATTACCTATTCTGAGTCTCAAAGGTCAGGTGGGCATTTCCTGGGTTAGGGTAGGTTGGGGATTGTGATGCAGAGCACTTGTGTAAGAAATCTGGATGTGAAGAACACGATGGATTTGGAAAAAACTCCTATCTAGAGAAGGCAAAGGGCAAGTGTCAAGCGATGAGGCAGGGGGAGAAAATAGTGTTGTTAATAAAATAATGGTCCATACACCTGAGAACCACTTCCTCTGCTTTTTGACATAGACTTACTGTGTTTGTGTGGTTCTCTCTCTCTCTTTTTTTTCCCGTATGTCAAATACTGAAAAACATGTAGATGGCTTTAAGTGGGAAAAATGGATAGTTCTGTTGTGATTTTTTAGAATGTGCTTAGTAACCAAATTTGTTTTTAAATAGACTGTTTATAAGTGCCATTTAACTTGACTTAGATAGGGAAATTTGCGTCTATAGATAGTAAAATTTCCATGCTTGGAAATAGCGACCACAGTTCATTCAATTGTTGTCAGTAGCTATTGTGTGCAGTCAGGATGTCCTGGGGAAGGAGTGTGCCTGTGTATAGTTGGTGTCCACATTCCAGAAACAGACTTGAAGAAAGTGGCCTCACAGCTGCCTTGGAGATCTTTTCTCCTTTGAGGTAAAGCTATCTTTTGAATATTATCTCCCACTGTGGCTGTCTTTACCTTTGGGATTATTGTTAAGATTTTACTTTTGTGTTGGGTGAAACTTAAAAGATTACTTTGTTGTTCCTAAACTTACTCTGTTTCTGTGAAACTCCATGAAACTAGAAAATTTAAGAAATTGTCTTTTCCTTGGTGTAAGTTTATGTTTTTAAATAAAACCTTTCTTCCTTACTCTTAATGTTGAGGACATCTAAGTGAAGCGAGTTTAATAATAATAAATATTCAGTGATCTGAAAAATTGAGGTCAAATTAGAGCTTATTTAGTTTTTTCTTCTAATGATAACTTAATTTTCAAACCCTGGAAAAGCAAGGTAGAGGTAGAAACCGTTTTTGAATCTCTATTCTATGGCAATCTAGATGTTCACGTAGGCTGTCTCTCTTAATATTTTCAGAAAACCTGTAGAAGTGCATTTTTATTTGTGTTTTAAAGAGGGAAACTTAAAGAAAAAAAGCTGTTGTACTTTAGGATCAGAAAGCTGTCAGGAGTATGGAGATCATTTTGTGTCTTAAAGCCCTGTTTACATGTTTAAAAAAAAAATGACATGACTTGCTTTGGACATCTTAACTGCTGATGCATTTGGCAAATATGCCACGACATATAAAAATATATATATATATATACCGAATAACTAGAGTCAGGGAGGTATAATCTTGTTTGTGCTACTACAGGTATGAATGCATAATGTCTGTCTACTTCCTATGCATAATAAATGCATTGGAATAAAATTGAAATCTTTGACTCTTCTAATTTTTACCTTGGAATTTACCTTTTGATAACTTTAAAAGAAAATTTGAAAGCTTTAAATTAAATTAAGAACTTTAAAAGAAAAAGCTTTTCCCCATTCATTCTAGTAGTGATTTGTATTTCCTGTGTCTCCTCCTATTTCCACGCAGGAAGTTCAGTCTGACAAAATATTTGCAATATGGTAAGAGAGATACAGCTTACTTTTGAAGTAGATAAAAGACATCTTCAGCACTTAGTAATTTATTATGTACTTAAGTATTTGTGTTTTCACTATTTACAATTATTTTGGTCAATCTTATTTGTAATTTAATACGACCATTTATTGAGGCTTTTCATGATCTGTATTTTAACCTATATTTAAAAATTGACAAGAAAAACAAGCTTTAATTATGCATCTAAAATTGTAGAAGCCAAAAAATAAATAAATAAAATAAAATTGTAGAAGCCTCATGATGTCTTTCTGTTTTAAAGACTTAATTTTTTAATAGGCAATAGTTTGAAATGGTTTAGGATGCAAATGGCATAAAAGTGAAGTGTCTTTCCTAGCTCAGATGCTTTGTTACCCTTTACCTAGATAAGCAGCAACTATTACTGGTTTTTTGTGTATCTTTCTAGAGACATATTATGCATATATAAGCAACATATGTTCTTTTTTTTTTCTCTCCTCTTTACACAAATTGGTAGCATTCTGCTCCTTGCTCATTATTCTAACTTATGTTCTATATATAAAGGGTTCCTTAATTCTTTTGTTGTGAGTTCTATTTTTTTCAAAGCTGCAAGGTTATCTGTTACGCTCATGTGCTATAATTTATTTAACCAGTTCACTAGTGGATATTTGGATTATTTGCATTTTTCTTTCTGTTACAAATAATGCTTCGATGAATAGCCATGTTCATTTGTATTTATATTTTTTATATCGCTAAATACCCTCTGCAGTGGTTCTGTGGTTCTGATAGCAGCACTGAAAAGGCTGATTTTACTGTATCTTTGCCAACAGAACTGGTTACCAAGCTTTGTTACCCAGTCTGATAGTAAAAATTGGCATCTCAGTGTAGATTGATTTGCATTTCCCTCATTTTGCGTGCAGTTGAGTATCTTTTCATATGTTTTAGAGCCATTTGTACATTCTTTTATGTGAATTGTCCCTTTACACACTTTGTTTTTGATAGTCAGTCTTTTTTTTCTAGTACTGATTTGTAGAAACTCTGTGTAAGTGAAATTAACTCTTAATCTTCGATACAAGTTGTAAATTTTCTTTATCTTTTGATTTGCTTATGACATTTTATTTTTACATTTAAATTTATCAGTCTTTTGTATGCTTCTTGGATTTTAGGTATTAAGGACTTTCCCATTCTGAGATTATAATAGCATTCTCCAGTGTGTTTTCATTTAATGTTTTCATGATGTCATTTATTAACTTTAAGTCCTTGATATGTTCTGCAATGTCTACATGTCTAACTTATTTATCAAATAATTCATCTTTTCCTCACTGATCTAAAATGCCATTTTTATCATAAATATGCTAAACTGTCATTTATATCTATTTTGGACCTTATTCTGTTCCATTGATTTGTTTAGTCATGTGCCAATACTACACTATCTTTATTGTAGTAGTATAGTATGTTTTAGTATCTGGTAGGGGTAGCTCTTTCTGTTACTCCTTTTGTTTAAGATTTTATTTTTCCCTCAGGACTTTTGAATTGGCTTATCTAGTTCCAAAAAAGTATCTATTGGTGTTTTGAGGATGATGAGTAAAATTTGTAAACTTAAATTTATAAATTAAAGAGAAGTTACATATTTAGCATTTCTGAGAATATAGTATGCATTTCATTTCCTCAGTTATTTTTGTGTTTCTTAGAAGCTACTTAAAGTTTTCATTTTGTAAGTCTTACTGCTTTTTGTTTGTTTTTTCCCCAAGGCCTGTGGTGAAAATTTGCCTACGTTATATCTTTTAACTCTAGTTTGCAAACTGTGGGCCCTGATTTATGACATTACACTAGTAGATTGTGAAGAATAGAAAAGAAAAATCAGAATGCAACATTCATTCTATAAGATCTAAGGATGCTTTGAAACTTCATAGGTCTTAAATAACTAATAACTGTTATGTATATGGTATATTTGGTCATGATATATGTATTTCTTACTGAAGGTTGTGGTCAAAAAAGTTCGAAACTCACTAATAGATGGAATGTATGAAAGCTATTTGTGTGATTTCTTAAAGAGATACTAAAAGTGTGTTAGCGCTTATTGTTGTGATTTAATAGAGAGCCCAAGGGAGGTAATTCTTTAAACCTTGAGCAAAATTTTGATCCAATTTTGAAGAATGGCTAATAGGGAGAAGAGCGTGGAGACAGAGACACCAATTAGCAGATAGTTAAATAATCCAGACTACAGGTAAAATGTGGCCTTTTGAACGAAATGGCAGTGGGAATAGAAAGGAAGAGAAAATATTTTAGAGGCATTTTGAAAGGAAAGATAATGAGCTAAAGAATGTATGGAAAAGAGTAAGTTTGCAGAACAGAGTAGAAGGGAGGGAGTGGGTTCAATTAGGACATTTTGAGGTTGTAATGGATAGATCATGGGTGGAGAAGGAATATATCAAACAGGGCATTGGAAATGTGGATCTGGAGCTCAGAGGTTAGAACTGGACAGGTAGTTCAAGGATTCATTTCCTTCAAAGGCATGAAAGTGGGTAAGGTTCTGTGGGGTAATGTATAGAGAAGAAAGCCAAAGAGAACCCCAGGCTGGGTGGGAACAACTGCATAAAGTAAAATTGTCAATAGATACACAGCACATGAGCATGCATTCATGTTACTACCTATCAAACACTGTATTCTAGGTGCTTTACATTTGTTTTCTCAATCGTTTCTTTCAATAATACGCCATTTTACAGATAAAGAAATTGCAGTGAGGTGATACTTCCAGAATAATACAGGAAGTGTTAGGAGGTTAGATTCGAACTCAGGTCTGAAACTCTGAAGCCCTACTTCTTCTAGTTACTGTAACTCGTTGCTTCTAAGAGTGCAGGATACTTCAAGATGGAAGAAAGTGGTGAATATTTGTAGTGATAATAGCAGGCATTATTAAGCAAGTATTTACTGTATGCCAGACACTGTTAAACTCTACATGGATTATCCCATTAATCCTCACAGCAAATTTTTCAGGTTAGTAACTATTATTCTGTCAACTTCTATTTTGCACTAAGGAAGCTGGGACATAGAGAGGTTTGTCCAAGGCTGCATATATATTAAGTGGTAGAGCTGGAGTTGTAGAGTGCACAAGTGGGATGCAAACTTAGAAGAAAAAAGGCCTCCAAGTTTGACTAATAGGTTTTTGTTGGCAGTGTTGTTTGGTGGTTTTGAGTGAAAATAATAACTAACATTCATTGAGCATTTTCTTTGTAACAAGCTCTGTTCTAAATTCATTCAGTTTTTATAACAGTCTCAAAATACATATTGTTGTCCCCACTTTATAAATGAGGAGACTGAGGCACAGAGCAGTTACATTAAGTTCCTAGTAGGAGACAGAGTTAGGATTTAACCTAGACAGACTGGCTTTGGAACCCATCTGCTTAACCAGGCTAAGCAAACTATTTCTGGTGGGCCAAATCTGGCCTGCTGCCTATTTTTGTAAATAAAGTTTTATCAGAGCACAGCCAGTCTTATTCTTTATGTATCACCGTGTCATTCATTTATGTATGGTTCCTTTTCGGCAGAGTTGAATAGTTGCAACATACCATGTGGTCTGAAAAAGTCTAAAATATTTACTATCTTCCCCTTTTCACAAAGTTTTTCAACCTCTGATAACCATTAGACTGGATGAAACTCCAAATCCTGGTGAATTTAGTCATAACCTATTTGTAGAGGTTTGGCAATAAAAAAACAAAAACAAAAAAACTATTAAATTGGATGATAGCTTTAAGAAGAAATATGGTAAAATGAAAGTTTTTTCACAAAGGAAAGATTTAAGTATATTAGCATAAGAAAAAATGTCTATTGAGTGGGAAATAATAAATCTATGGAGGGAAGTGGCATAGGGTTTGGAGAATGCAGGAGTGCGGGAAGAATTATTACTGGAAAGAAGCCAGAGGCTTTTCTTTGAAACACTGAGCAGAAGCAAAAAAGAGAAAAGGTATTAGGAATATAGGGCTGTTTTGAATTGGGGGCAAGGGCAATAATAGTAATTTTCATTCGATGACTGTAACCTCATTTAAGCAAGGATGAAGAAGAAAGATGATTCAAATATTTTTTTTTGCTATCCCAATGACTACTTTTTAAATCTCCCAGTCATGTGTAGTGCTATGAAAGAAATATTTATAGGTAGAAAGAGTAAGAATAATTATAGAATTTGGGGTAGTGTGATAAGGTTTTTTTTTTCTTTTAAAGTCTAACAGGTTAAGGTTAGAAAATATAAGTAGGCTTTACATTTTTTGCTGGTTATAAGTTGTTTTAACTAGACATTATAAATTACTATTTAAGCTTTAGTTCCCAGTGAGATTTTTAAAACAGCTTTGTCGAGGTATAATTGGTGTACAATAAAGTACATCTATTTAAATGATACAGTTTCATCAATTTTGACATAAAAACCCTTGTGAAACTATTCCAATCCAGACAACCTGTGCTTCTTGGTACTCTCTTCTTTCTGCACCTGCCTGTGGCCTCCTTTCACCAATTTGGTATGTGGTGTTTTCATTTTCATTGTGTTCAAAAACACTTTCTAATTTCCCTTTTTCTTCTTTAACCCATGGGTTATTTAGAAGTGTGTTATTTAGTTTCCTGGTATCTGGGGATTTTCCAGAGATCTTTCCATGATTTCTAATTTCATTCTCTCTAGTCACAAAACATATTTTGCCTGATTTGAATCCTTTTAAAATCAATTTGACTTGTTTTATAATATGGTCTATCTTGGCAAATATTCAGTGTATACTTGAAAAGACATGAGCCCTGCTATTACTGGATGGAGTGTTCTACAAATGTCCATCTGGTAGAGGAGGCTGATAGTATTGTTGAAGTCTTCCGTAATCTTACTGATTTCCTATCTACATGTTGTGTCAATTATTGAGAGAGGGTTATTGAAACTCTCATTGTGGTTCTATTAGGTTTTGCTTCGTGCATTTCGAAGTTGTTTATTAGGTGCATAAACGTATAGAATTGTTAGGTCCTCTTAATAAATTGACTCCATTATTATGAAATGATTTTTATCGGTAGTAGTTTCTTTTGCTGGGAAATCTACTCTGTGTGATGTTAGACAGTAAGCTGGGGTTGTTGTAGAACTTACCATGTTCATTTCTAACCTGTCAAGATTCTTGTCTTTTCTTGCCTTATAGCCAATGTCTTGAAAATTTTTGTTAGATATATTTGTATGAGTTTCTTTTGGTTGTCTCAGGCAGAAGTGTAAACCTATTTTTCCATCTTGGCCAGAGCAGAAGTCCAAAAATAGTTTTAAAACTATTTATGGCGATTCTTAAAAGTTTTCTTTTTGTTTATATCAGGGATACTTAGAAGAATTTGATGAAAGATGTGGCCCTTAGCCCCTCATATCTACAAAGACTTACCCATATAAAAGCTGGATTGTAATTTCATGAGGGTTAGAGGCTTGAGGTTTCATTCCTCCTTGCCTAGGAATCCTTGCTATCCAGCAAGCATTTTCAACCCTAGATATACACTAAAATCACCTGGGAGAGCCTTTAAACAAATACCTGTGCTCTCTGGACCTGTGAAATCTTCAATTTTTGGTGGTAGGATCCAGATTTTTGTTTTTAAAACTCCCTAGGTAATTCTGCTGTGCACCCAAACTTCAGAACAGCTGGTTTTAAGCAAAGAATGGCTTGCTCTTCACTTGGTCTCTCTACCTTAGATTCCTAGGGAGGATAGGATACAAGGAGCCATTTGTTCCCAAAACTTACTTTGTGGGTAGAAAGGGTTACTTGAAAAAAATGGCCAATTCCACCTTCAGATTTTGTTTGGTAAATTGTATCTGGGCTTTTCACAAAGGCACATAGAGAAGAAGTCACAATAAAAAACTTTTTCAGTTATGCTACACAATTTGCTTTAGCAAAATGCAAAATGTTAGAATATCTCTACGGCAAACGAGAGACCACAATATAAATCCATTAACATGGACCTCAGAGCCCAAAAGCCTGTAAGAAATAAGGCTGTAAATAAATAGGAATTTAAATGTTCTAAGGCATTGGGTGTTTATGTGATATGCTTTGTATATAGGATTTTGCTATGTCAAATGTATGTATGACTTCAGTTATTGGTAATGCATCGTGAAAAATATAGCTCATTTGACTAAAGTGAGCCACAGTGCATTCAACTATTTTAGCAAATGCTATAAGGCAATAAGCAAGAAAAAATTGCACAGAGTGCTCTTAATGAGAGGTCTGATGTAACATGGACTCTGTGACTCTGAGACGGATTGATTTCACATTGCGTCACTTTTTAGATGTGTCAAATTATGTAATGCATGGAGTAGTAAGTTTGGAATGCCGGCCACTTTATGCAAGCTGATTCTTTTGTATGATTTCTTTAATAAAGAACTTGAACATCTTTTTCATTTTGCGTATTAGGCTTTTCAATTGCTTAATCTTCTAATGCTTCTATAAGTAAGGGTGAATTTTTAAGAGATTAAATGACTTCGTATAAACCTAGTTTAAAATATTTTCTTCTCATTTATTGTAACCAACCTTTCCCTGTAGCTGTGAACTTCACAGAAGTTAATGAAGAAAACAAAAACGATCTCTTCAGAGAAGTGTTTTCTTCCATTGAGACCTTGGCCTTTACCTTTGGAAATATGTAAGTAGACAACTGTCATTTAAAGAAATTTGGGCCTGGGTATCTCAGACCATGTCACATAATTCAGTAGATATATGGAAAGTAAAGTACTAATCAATATAAAATATCATACCACTGGAAAAAATACATTCATTATTGTTAGTAAATTTAGTAGTATTTGTATAGCTGTTCCAAAGCAACATCCATTTGCAGGTGACTATGTGGTTTATGTGAACAGATTCCTAGGAATTTATTTCTAAGGTTTTTCTTTTTAAAAATTTATTCTAGATGACATATTGAATGTTAAGCCTGTGACAGAGCAATGTAATGACTTGTCTTTTTATTTCTTATTTCTTTTTTTTTAAACTTCCCTGGATAGCCTGACAAACTTCCTTATGGGAGATGTAGGCAATGATTCATTATTGCGATTGCCTGTTTCTCGGGAAAGTAAGGTAGGCCAAGTTTGTGTGAAAGTAGATACTTTAATATTTTTAACATTTCAATAATTTCCTGATCTTAATCTCAGTATTAGTCTTTGATAGATTTTGAGTTGACTGAGAAAAATAGATCAATCAGTTCATTTTAAGTATAATTTATGGTCAATTTCTGGAGCTAAAATTTAATTATACTAAGTGGAGCATTCATTTTAAAACAATATATCTGATAGTTTTATGGTGTCTTATGTAATGAATCTATATGTCATATGGTCCAAAATTTTAGTAAGTAATTCTTAACAATTTCTCTCTCCTGATATTGTCACAGTTCTTAAAAACTGGTAGAAACTTAGAAAAATAACTCAAGAAGTAAAGAAGGAAGGTGTTAATCTTTTCACACATCCTATAGTTTGTTACCATGAAACACATATTAATAGACTGTGGGTCTTAATTCTCCCTAAGAGCAGTATGTCAGAGGATTGCAGTTCCAATTTCTAATTTATTATTTTTTTTAAGATTTTATTTATTTACTTAAGAGAGCACCAGCAGCAGGCAGAGAGAGGCAGAGGCAGGAGAAGCAGACTCCCCACTGAGCAGGGAGCCCAGCCAAACAGATCTCCATCCCAGGACCCTGGGATTATGTATTACCTGAGCCAATGGCGGTTGCTTAACCGATTGAGCCACACAGATACCACCCCCCCATTCCTAATTTAAAGAAAAATTGCTATGAAATAATAGAACATGAAGAATATTTGTAGAATATTGTTTTAGAGATTTATAGTAGTAATATTTTTAGACTAAAAGTTTTTCACCAAATGCAAGGTATTTTTAAAAATTTCAGTGGGGACCTATGTCAGTTATTTCTTTTTTAAGGATATTCAGATCCAGAGGGACTTCAGCAAATACTTGGAAATATGCCAAGTGTTTGTGTTATTTCAAAATAATATAAAAACTGCAGGTCTTTCTTAAAGTGATACAAAATATGAATGACTAATTGAGGCCTTTGTTTTATGTACTATAATATTAAAGCAATTGACTATTTCTAAAGTCATCCATCAATGAATCAAGGATAGTAATAATGAAGAATTTTAAGATCCTTAAATATTTTGCTATCATTTATATTTATTCAATTTTATCTTTTCAAACATATTACTAATTCGGAAGCTATAACATTATGTCTGTGTGACAAGGCTCTGAAGAATTAAAATTTTAGGTGTGAATCATATTTCCTGTTCCTGTTGGCTCTATTATGTACACGTATTACACTAGGTCTTTTTTTTTTAAGATTTTATTTATGTGAGAGAGAGACATGACAAGAGAGAGGACAAGCAGTGGGAAGAAGGAGAAGCAGGCTCCCTGCTCCACAGGGATCCTGACTTGGGGCTTGATCTCAGGACTCTGGGATCATGACCTGAGCTGAAGGCAGACACTTAATTGATTAGCAACCCAGGTGTCCCTTCTCTAATTCTTAATAGGAAAATACTTTTTCCTTTTTCTCTTTTGCACCTTATTTTCCTTTTTGCAGTTTTTAATTAACCATAGAGATTGAGCTTTAAAAGTCCATGATGATATAATACTACAAATAAAATTACTTGGATGAAGAATTTTGAAAAATACTTTAAATAATAGTTGCCATTTGTTTAATAGCTTTTGTTATATACCATGCCCTGCACTAAGTCTATATCATTTCCTTAAAATAGCCTTGTCAAAGTGTTCTTATCCCCATTTTACAGAAGGGCAAACCAAAGTTAAGTAAGTGTAAATATATAGCCTAGTGTCATACAGCTGCTGAGTGATAGAGCTGGACTCCTTGATCCTTTTGCATTGAATCCCTGCATAGTCTGTATTGCCCAACCAAATAGATCAAATTTGTTTAAGATCTCATAATTTTGGTAGATATGTTTTCCTGCACTATCCAGTAAGGTAGCCATTTGCCACATGTAGCTCTTTAAATTTAAATTAATTAAAATAAATAAAATTGGAAATATACTTCTCATTTACATGAGCCACTTTTCATATGCTCATATAGCCACATGTAACCTTACTGGACAGTAGTACAGAACATTTCCATCATCATAGAGAGTTTTGCACTAAGTTGTCCACTAGACCTTCAGAGAAATGCTTGTCATATGATAAAATGATGAAAGATGGCTTGGAGAAACAGATCCTTGTCTTCAGTTTAAGTGATAACCTATTTAGATTGTTTCTGTAACTTCCTGACTAATATTTTTGAAATCTGCAGAATTTAAAGTTTTGAATGGATTTATTAATGTTAACTAATGCTGTTAGTAAACAATGAGGTTATTTATTCTTGGATCTTGAGAACTGTAGTTGTAAAAAGGTATGTAATTTTTATAAGATGTAGCATCTAAACAGATTTCTTAGGCCCTTTGAGTTCTAAATACTTTAAATTCTTTAACAGGAATTATGTCACAGTAACAAATTAGAGTGAAAAATTTCTGAAGTAAAGCTCTGTTATCTTCTGCTCTAATCTAAAATTTGTTTTCTTCCATGTTGTAAGTCTTTCGAAAATGTTTCTGTGGAATCAGTGGACTCATCCAATGAAAAAGGTAATGTTGAAGTACTTTCAATCTTACTCAAATTTTTTTAGTTCTTTTTCTTTCTTTATTTCTCTCCTTCCTTCCTTTCTACCACTGTCCAATCCCCTGCAGTTACTTTCAATACATGTTTTGGATTATTTAATCTCTTCTTGCTCAGTAACCTAAAGTATTCATTTTTAACACAAAATGATGCGTAAAATTTTACATGAAAACTTAAGGAAGAAAACCTGCTAAAGTAGATAGATAATATAGAGACTGATCAACAGTTATATAGAATTTGTAACTTGATGAATAATAGAAGTACATATTAAGGTAAAAAATATAATTTGAAACCATTTTAAGTTTAAACTGTGACCTTTAATTCTAAATTTGTCACTTGTATTTTTTTAAAACAGTTTTCACTGAAGAACATCTTAGGATTAAATGCTTCTTTGTTCAGAGTTACATGCTGATATTTAATATATACTTGATATTTTTATTTTCAGGAAATTTTTCTCCTATAGAACTAGACAGTGTGCTATTGAAGAACACTGATTCTGTAGAATTGGCTTTATCTTATGCTAAAACATGGTCAAAATATACCAAGAACATAGTTTCATGGGTTGAAAAGAAGCTTAACTTGGGTGAGTTGCCCTTTGGCACATCTGATTAACTTTGGAGTGTAAGAACTAAATAGTTTGCAATTCATTTTCTGCAGACGATGACTAATATGATTCCAGATTAGTAGCTGCTTCATTAGTAGTGAATAAAATCATTGTCCGTATTTTCTTCTTGAAATAGGAAAGACTCATCTTGCAGTACATGTATTTATTGAACATTACTGTGGGCCAACCACTTGATCTGGGGACATAAAGACAAGTAGTACACTGTCTTTGCCTTTAAGGAAGTCATACTTCAGTGAGCGAAAAGAAATGCGATCAGATAATATAGTTAAAAGAAATACAAGCAACAATAGGTATATGAGCACAGGCATGGAAACATCTTAATAGCTAGTGTTTTCCCAGTGTTTTACAGTTGACAGAATACTCTCACATCTTATACTTTATTTAATCCTTACCAAAACCCTGGTAGAAGGCAAGAAAAGAATTATTCCCATTTTACAGCTCAGGCAAACAAGACAGGTGGTTTGCTTAAGGTCAGATGGCAGTTTTGCCTAGGATTATATAGCACTAGTTGGAAGAGTATAAGATTTACCCAAAGCCTATGCTCTTTCTACCATATTTGCCTTTAATAGGGAATGCCCATCAGAATCCCTGAATAGCCTTGTAAGAGGGCAATACGCAGGTCGAGGTCCCATCTCCAAGAGAAGTGAGACCAAGCAAGTGTATTTTGAAAGTGTCCTAGTTGGTTTTGATGAGCACTTCTGGTTAAGAATCACGGTATCATATGATGCAGACTAGTATACGTGCTCACTCTTTAATTTGGGAATTACAAATAAGTTTAGGTTATAGAGAAGTAAAAGAAGTAAATTTATCTTCTAATGCTTTCTTTGATCTTTTCAGAATTGGAGTCCACTAGAAACATTGTCAAATTGGCAGAGGCAACTAGAACTAACATTGGAATGCAGGTAAGTGTTCAGTGACCTCCTAGGGTATTGGACCAAGAGGTTACCCGGATGAACTCCTGATAGTGCCTTGCAAAGTCAGAAATTTGTGTAATTAGGGCAGCCCCAGTGGTGCAGCGGTTTAGCGCCGCCTGCAGCCTGGGGTGTGATCCTGGAGACCAGGGATCCTGTCCCACATCGGGCTCCCTGCATGGAGTCTGCTTCTCCCTCTGTCTGTGGCTTTGCCTCTGTCTCTCTCTCTCTTTGTGTGTCTATGAATAAATAAATAAGAATCTTTTAAAAAAAAAGAAATTTGTATAATTAATATAGGAAGGAAGTGAAATGCGAAACTGTTGGCTCAGCAAAGTAAAAGCATTTTAAACTCACATGTAGACCCATTATGAAAAAAAAAAACTAGGAAATTCACAGTTTGATACAAATGTTGATTGTTTTGTTAGCCACTAGTTTCGCTACCTAGTTTTATAATTAATATTCTTCAGGTTTTTCTTATATAGCCATATTTATGACTATTCATTTTTCTGCAGAAAAGATCTAAACTTAAAATTTCTCCTTCTGAAGAATAGTTGGGGGTTATCTAGAACTCTTAGTGCTATTTCTGTTGGAAGGTTTACCTTTCAATTTTAAATTCTAGGAGTTTATGCCATTGCAGTCTCTATTTACCAGTGCTCTCCTTAATGATATAAAGAACAGTCACCTTTTACAACAAACAATTGCAGCTCTCCAAGCCAACAAATTTGTGCAGGTAAAAATTTATATGTATAATACACTTTTTTTTTTAACATAGCATACCTTTATAAAACAGCTTATTTTTATTCCTTTCTTTCTTGTTTTAAAATGCCTTTGACAGCCTCTACTTGGGAGGAAAAATGAAATGGAAAAGCAAAGGAAAGAAATAAAAGAACTTTGGAAACAGGAGCAAAATAAAATGGTTAGTATTACAATGGAGTTTCATCTATCTACTCAAAACATCTGCAGTATATAAGCATCTACCCTGGAAGATGCATACCTTACTCTCTAATTTTTCTAAAATTCTGTCTTAACTGTCTTATTGAATATACTAAAGATACTTGCACAGTAGGGTTTGTTTCTTATTCTGTGTTTTTGTCTTGTATAGCTTGAAACAGAGACTGCTCTCAAAAAGGCAAAATTGTTATGCATGCAACGTCAAGATGAGTATGAAAAAGCAAAATCTTCCATGTTTCGTGCAGAAGAGGAGCATCTGTGCTCAAGTGGTGGATTAGTAAAAAATCTCAACAAGCAGCTAGAGAAAAAGAGAAGGTTGGAAGAGGAGGCTCTTCAAAAAGTAATCATCTTTGTTGTTATTTGCAAGTTGAATTAGCAATAATCTGCTAAGGCTTCAGTTGTCAAATGTTAGCATGGGTCAGGATTGCCTGGAAGACTTCTTAAAACAGGAAGAGTGTCTGATTCAGTGGCTCTAGGATTGGCCTCCAAAACTTGCATTTCTAACAGGTTTCCAGGTAATGCTGCTGCTGTAGGTGGTGGGGAGCCACACTTTGAGAACCAGTATGATTTTTGCTTATCTTTTAAATCTTTGGGTTTGTCTCTGAAAAAGTATCTTAGAGAAGGGCAGTAGTTCAGTATTTTTTACTTCATTGTTCAGTAAGTACACCTTTTAAGCAACTGTGTGTGTATGTGTACTGATTCTGGTACCTGATAGCAAAGCTAGGCTGGAGCTTTATGTTGCTTATGAAACATAATTTAATAAACTTTGTAAGATTATATAGAAAATGGTAAATATAAATCAAAAAGCCTCTTAAATAGAAGTAGACACTTGTTTGGAGACAGTATGCTAATTATAAGTCCTCCTTGACTATCCATTAAAGTCAAATGCCCTGGGTCCCTGACCAGAACAGGTTGTTATCTTTAGAAATACCCTATTTAAAAGAGACTTATTTCAGAATTTTTATGCAAAAAGGCTCTTCAGTTATTTATATTGAGTTTTATTATAATAAGTATTGTTTTAAAATATAAATTCTAGTGATCAGTGTTATTTTTTTTCTGGGGTATTCTTAAAGGTAGAAGAAGCAAATGAACTCTACAAAGTTTGTGTGACAAATGTTGAAGAGAGACGCAATGATCTAGAAAATACCAAAAGAGAAATTTTAACACAACTCCAGAAACTCGTTTTTCAGTGTGATCTTACCCTTAAAGCTGTAAGTATTTTTTTCAGTATTTTGATGGCCAGAGGCAAAAAAGTGTCTAAATGTCTGCAGAAGGGAGAGGGATGTTTGATGAATCATGATTCTTAAAGGATTTAATTTCTGAGATTAATGAAACATTTAGAGCTTGAAAATTAACTTTCAGCTTTTAATAGTGGTAAATGGTTTGAGTTAACATTTTTAATCTGGTTCACCACCCCGTGGATTGGCGATGTGTCCAATTAAAATTGAAGCACGAGAGTTTGAAACTAACTGCCTCTAAGCCACTGTATTTCTTGGCTTGGTTGACAAAATGAATTTGACATTGAAATTTCTATCAACACTATGACATCTGTTCTTCAAATTTTGAGTAAGCTAAATATTAAAATTGAACCCAGTGATTTTTTTGGGAAAAAAAAAAAGCATCCTGGCCTCAAGTATTTTCATATACCTCTTTAAAATGACTTTTATGAAAAGCTTATATATAAAATGCCTTTATTTGGTGTACATTTCACAAGTTTTAACACATGTATAAGTATGTTACCGCCACCATCGCAGTGGGGATTCAGAAGAATGCTGGCATTCCAGAAAATTTTGCTTATGCTGCCCCTTTGTAGTCAGACTCTCTGTCCACCCTTGTCCCCTGGCAAGTATTGATATGTTATCCAACTTTACAGCTTGGTCTTTCCCAGAGTGTCATATAAGTGGGATCCTATAGTATATAACTTGGAGACTGGATTCTTCTACTCAGCCTAATGTCTTTGATATTTGTCAATGTTATGCCTGTATCAGTAGTTCTTTGCTTTTTATTGCTGAATAGTATTCCATCATGTAGAGGTACCACAGTGTTTATCCATTCATCAGTTGGATATTTCTGTTGTTTCCAGTTTAGGGTGATTGTGAATATAGAGCTGCTATGAATATTTGTAGGTTTTTGTGTGAACATGTTTTCATATTCCTAGGGTAAGCACTTAGGGAGTGAGATTACTGGATATTATGGTAATGTCTATTTAACTTTATGAGAAATTGCTGAATTGTTTTCCAGAATAGCCATAACATTTTCATTCTAACCAGTAGTGTATGAGAGTTCCAATTGTTCTGCATCTTTAACAATACTTGTCAGTTGTAGTTTTTATATTTTAACTGTTCTAATATGTGTGTAGTAGTAGTTGTTTTGGGTTTTTGGAATAACTAATGATATTGAGCATCTTTTTTTTTTTTAAACTTTTATTTTTTTTATTTTTTTTTAATTTTTATTTATTTATGATAGTCACAGAGAGAGAAAGAGAGAGAGGCAGAGACATAGGCAGAGGGAGAAGCAGGCTCCATGCACTGGGAGCCCGATGTGGGATTCGATCCCGGGTCTCCAGGATCGCGCCCTGGGCCAAAGGCAGGCGCCAAACCGCTGCGCCACCTAGGGATCCCCGATATTGAGCATCTTTTAAAGAACTTATTTGCAGTCTCTATTTTGCCGATTTTTAAAAATTGAGTTGTTTTCTTATTATTGAGCTTGCATATTTTGTCTTCCAGTCTGGAACTTATCTTTATTCCTTTCACAGTTTGTTTCAGGGAACAAGAGTTTATAATTTTAATAGAGTCTCACCAGTTTCTTCTTTATGTGCCATGCTTTTCACATTATATCTAAGAAAGTTTCGGGGTCACAGAGACTTCTCTCCTATTTCTACTAAAAATTTTGTAGTTTGACATTGATATATGATCTATTTTGGCTTAATTTTTATATAAAGTGTGAAGTATAGGTTGAGGTTCATTTTTTTGCATATAGATATTATATTAAAATTATGCCCATGGGATTTTAATTTATGGAAGTGACTGAATGCTGACATGGAGAGGTCAATGTTATTGAAAGATGAATTTCTTCCTTACATTTCCCAAGAGAGAGGGACATGCTATGCCACAAAGGACCACAGAAATACCAGGTTTGGTGAAGCAGAGGCAGGAGTGAGGGGAAAGCTGAGTACAGAGCCTTTATTGGGGCTTCCGAAGGAAAGGCAAGTTATGTCAGGATAAATGGTATAGGACTGGCTAGTTTGAATAATTCCTGTAGGCTTTGGGGTATAGGGATGGTTTCTAGTTGCTTGGTACCTGGCCCTGGGATGATTCAGAGCAGGAGAGAATTAATGAGAGAATTAATTATTGAGGTTGTTTGGGTTGCATAAGAAAGACATTCCCCCAACCCCCCTCTTCCCTGGGCTAAGAATTGGTTAGCCATGGGAGGAGCAGACTCTCCCCAGCCAGCAAGCTTTTTAAGATGCCAAAACATTATAAAATATGGAAAATAAAACACGTTATTAACCTAAGTGTCCACTTGTTCCAGTACCATTTGTTGAAAACATTGTGCCATCTTCATTTATTTGTCTTTGCATCATTGTTAAAAATCAATTGACCATATTTTTATAGGTCAATTTCTAGATTCTCTATTTTGTTCCATGGATATATGATATGTGCCTGTCATTGGGCCCAAACTCTACTATGTTCATTACTATTGTTTTATAGCAAGTCTTAAAATCAGGTAGTGTGAATCTTCTACTTTATTCTTTTTCAGAATTGTTTTGAGTATTTAAGATCCTTCACCCATAAAAACATTGGAATCAACTTGTCTGTATCTACGAACAAATCCTGCTAACATTTTATTTGGAATTGGGTTAAATGCTAGCTCAGATGGGAAGAATTGACTACATATGTAGCATATTAACCATATAGAAAGAGTTGTTCAATCCATGAAGATAGTCTCTCCATTTATTTAGTACATGATATTTTTTTAATCAGCATTTTGTAGTTTTTAACATAAAAGTCTTTCACTTGTTTTATTAGATTTAAACCTATATATTTATGTATTTGGATGGCTATTGTAAATGTAACTGATAATAAATCAATAGATAAATAGATACCACATATAATTTATGTGTAAATATCTAGGCACACACATTTCTTTAATTTCAAATTTCAGTTATTCATTGTTAATATTTAGAAATGCAAGTAATTTTTGTATGTTGATCTTGTATCTTGCAAACTTGCTAAAGCTAAATAGTTATAGAATTTTTTTATAGAATCATTGGGATTTTCTACATAGAAAATCATGTTATCTACAAGTAGGGACGGTTTTATTTCTTCTTTTCCAATCTGTATTCCGTTTATTTCTTTTTCTTTCTGCATTGGCTAGGGCTTCCAGTTGATCATTGAATAGGATTGGGTGAAAGAAGATATCCTCATCCTATTCTGGACTTTAAGGGCAAAGCACTTAGTCTTTCTACATTAAGTATGATGGTAACTATAGGTTTTTTGATGATGATGACCTTTGTTGGATAAGGACTTTCCCCTTTTTCTAGTTTGCTGAGAGTTTTTTGATGAAGATGTTGGATTTTTTTTTTCACTGCTGAAAATTTTAGGGTTGTTTGCTATTGCAGCATAACCCAGCAAAACTGTCTGCTATAGTATATATTGAATATATATGTGTATATATTCTATATTCCTTTATATGTACCTTTACATACTATATACTATATCATGTACACCTAAATATGATAGAGGAACATTTTAGGGCAAATAATATATAAGTACAATTTATAGGACTTAAGATGTAATTTTTGTTAATTAAATTGTTATAAGCATTTATAATTGTGTCTTTGCTTTAAAAATGATTTTTTTTGCATCATTTGATTGCTGCAATAATATAGTTTTTCTTTTGTAGTCTTTAGTAGTCTATTAATATGATGGATTACATTGATATTTGAGTGCTGATCTAGTCTTACATTCCTGGATAGGCTACTTTTGGTTGGGGTGCATTGTTCCTTTTGTATATTGCTGGATTCAATTTGCTAATATTTTGTTGGGTATTTTTTTCTTCTCTTTCAATGAAAGACATTGGTGTGTTATTTTTTTTTTCTTATGCTGTCTTTATCTAGTTTAGTATCAGTAATTCTGGCCTTATAAAATGAGTAGAGAAGTGTTCCTTCCTATCAGTTTTCTGGAAGAGATTGTGTAAAATTGGTATTATTTCTTCATTTTGGTGGCATTCCCTGGTGAAAGTATCTGGATTTGGAATTTTCATTTTTGGAAGATTTTTTACTGTGTATTTAATTTCCTTTGATAATAGGCCTATTTAAGTTAATTATTTCTTTTTGTGTGAATTTTGGTAGTTAGTGGCTTTCATGAAATCAGTCCCTTTCATCTCAGTTGCCTTATTTATGTGCACAGTGTTGTTCATAGTACTTCTTTATTCTTTCAGTGTTTCAGTAGCCTGAGTGATATCCTCTCTTTGATTCCTGTTCCTGGTAATTTTTATCTTCTCTCTTTCTCTGGTCTGGCTAGGGGATTTATCAATTTTTTTCACCTTTTCAAAACACTAGCTTTTAATTTCATTGGTATCTCTATTTTTTTTTTTTTTGGTATCTCTGTTTTTTAAAAAATTTTATTTATGCTTCCTTTGGGTTTATTTTGCTTTTCTTTTTAGTTGCTTAGATTGTTCATTGAGACCTCCCTGCTTTTTACATATAAATATTTAATTATTTAGTTTTCTCTCTAAGCACTGCTTATCTACATCCCACAAATGTTGAATTTTATAATTTTTGTGTGTGTGCAATACAAAATATTTCCTTTTTTTTTTAAACTTTATTTTTTTTTTTAATTTTTATTTATGATAGTCACAGAGAGAGAGAGAGAGGGAGGCAGAGACACAGGCAGAGGGAGAAGCAGGCTCCATGCACCGGGAGCCTGACGTGGGATTCAATCCCGGGTCTTCAGGATTGTGCCCTGGGCCAAAGGCAGGCGCTAAACCACTGCGCCACCCAGGGTTCCTACAAAATAGTTCCTAATTTTCCTTGGAACTTCATCTTTGATCTATGGATAATGTAGAAGCTGATTGTCTAATTTCAAAGTATTTGAGGATTTTCTGGATATATTCCTTATACTGATTTCTAGTTTAACTCTGTTATGATGTGAGAAATATTTTGTATAATTTCAATTTTCTCAAACTTGTTATGGTTTATTTTAAGGTC